AAGTGGGGAGGTCAGTCTATGTATGATTTTGGTGAAGGAAGGATACGTGCAGTCAAGCACACATCTTGGTAGAAGGTTGCCGCTAGTCACAAGGAGCAGTTGTCTCCATTAATGATTTCAGTGTTTGTCTAGGTAACAGAAAATGCCAGAAATTGGGCTTATAAAATCTTCTCCTGAAAATACGTAACTATCTGAAGGCCTGTTCTGCAAGTTTTCCCAGAGCACAGGGTGCCCCATTCCTGATCTCCACCCTGAGCTCCTTTCACAGTGTGTCACAGAAGGTCAGCGGCTGCAGCGGGTCGGTGACTTCATTCTTACAGAACCAGACGGTAAGGAACATTGTTTTGTTGTCAGGACCACCTCGTGGTCATAAATCCAACCACAGTTTGGGAGGCATTTCATGACCATTTTGCTCCGCAGCACTAGGAATCCTGTCTCCTAAGTCAAGCCAAGCCTTTGTTGCTAGGCCGCCCAATGAGCTGTTCCTGGACTAGACCCTGTGGACAGGAGCCAGAAGTCCCTGGCCCACCTGTCTTACTAGTCAGGTAACATGAAATGATTCCCTCTTTTTGTTTCTTCCAATAGGCAGAGCCACACTATTAGAATCATTGACCTCATATACAACTAGATATTCGGTCAGCTGTTTCAAGTTGTATATTCAGTTTAAGAATCTGTGGATGTATATGTGTGTGTGTATATGTATAACTGATCACTTTGCTGTACACTTGAAACTAACATTGTAAGTCAACTACTCTTTAATAAAACCTTTTTAAAAAAATAATTCAATTAAACTTAGTATATACTTAGAATATAACATACTAATGAGGACCCATCAGGGTCAGAATTTTGAAAAAGTGCTTTGTCAAGCCAGATTTCTCTATCTTAACTGCATATGCAATAATAGAGTTCCATGTTGGCCATTTTCAGGGCGAGATTACCTTTCACTCCCAATTAAGCAAGTACTTGTAATTACAAGTTTCGTATATACATAAACCTGGCTGGAGCATTGGTTAGTGGCTGGCTTGCTGATGCCTCTACTTTCTTTGTTTGAGAGACTATTTCCCACGTTGAAGCTGAATTTGTTGGGGGTAAAATTTACTAATGAAACTGTGTGATGGGCTGATGTGCTGCCTGTGAGTTTAGCACAGCTCCCCTAGGTGTCACCCTAGGGTCCTTTCAGCTCTCCAAGTGTCTCAGTTTCTCCCTCCAGCCATTGAAAACCACTGTGGGTGCCTGATCACTGAATGGCCAACATTCTTACTAATGACCCCCGGACTAGCAGGTCTTTTCATTAATGAGTGGGTTTCCCTATGGGACCCCTGCAAGGTGTGAGGACCCTGCCTCCAATATTCCCGTAAGTTTCTCATTTGCCTGAGAAGGCCACAACCAACTAAGAGGAAACCCTCATCTTCAGAGCAAAGTTCTCATGTGTCTTTACTTTTAACCTGAAAAATTCTGTTCAGATAGCCAAACTGAGGAAAGAAGTCAGGTCAGCCTATTTAACCACTTAGCCCAGTGTCTTTCAACTGGGTTTCGCTAGTATCTGTCAACTGGTGGGCAGGGGGGGAAGTCATTCCCCAGTATCTTTCAACTGGGGGGTCAGGTTCCTGTTACACAGCAATAAATAAAACTCACTATCATTAACCAATAATCAGAAGACCCGAGAACCAAGTCGGACTCACCCAAATTGGTCTGGACTCTGAGGAGACAGATGGGTGGACACAAGAGGACCTGATGGTTCTGAGGCTCGAGATCCTTGCAGAGTTCAGGTGAAGGACAGAAGTCTGCTCTGGGTCCCCTTGAAGTTGTCAAAATTGTCAACCAAAAAAAAAAAAAAAAAGCAGCACAATGCGAGAGCTCTCGGATTTTATTTGAGGACTTACTGAGGACTATAGTGCAGGAGACAGCCTCTCTGATAGCTCTGGGGAACTGATCCAAAGAGATAAGGGAGGAGGTCCCTATGTACATGATTTGCTGAAGGCGGAACATGCAATCAAGCACACATCTCCGTAGAAGGCTGCTGCTGGCCACCAGGAGCAGATGTCTCCATGAATGATTTTAGTGCTTTTCTAGGTATGAGAAGATGCAAGAAACTGAGTTCATAAAATTTCCTCCAGAAGACACCTAACTATCTGTTAGAAAACCTGTTTTTGCCCTTTCTCCCAGAACACAGAGTGCCTCATTCTTGACCTCTGCCCTGAATTCCTTTCAGGGTGTGTTAAAGGTCAGTGACTTCATTCTTGTAGAATCAGATGGTGAGGGAAATTTTTTTCTTCTCGAGTCATAACTATGAATATAAAATTAGAAAAAAATCTATTACGTGCTAACAATGAGTCAAAAATATATTTGAG